CACGTAGAACGTGGTAGCAGTCGTGTTAACTGCTCTTGGAAGGATACCCTATAAATAGAGCAAAGGAGGAAAGGGGGAGAAGAGCAGAAATTGGCAGAGAACAGGATTAGTAGTGAAAAGTCTACCGGAGAAACGACGAACACCATGAAGTTTCTGGCAATCTGGATTTCCTTGCTCACTGAGTACATTTACCGCTTTCTGTATTTTCCTTGGTAATTTATTTTGATGCAACTTAAATTCAGCAGTTTTATGTTTCTGTATTTTCGATTCCTTGTCCATTTCAATTCAATGAAAATTTGAGTTTCTGCATTTAGATTTCCTGTTATTTAACATTCTACAAATCTCAATTTCTTGTCATTTACTTTTCTTGCAATCTCGATTTCTTGTCATTTACTTTTCTTGCAATCTCGATTTCTTGTCATTTATATTTGCGTTGTTTTCGATTTCTTGCTAGTTACAATTAATGCAAGTTTGAGGTTTTCGCACTTTACATTTTCTCGCAATTTAACATTCTGTTTTTTCGATTCGATAGTCTTAATGCTTTCGATACTTTAAATACAAAACACCAAAAACAGCCTTTTCGATATCCTGTAGTTTTCGATTCTCATACACGTTTTCGATTGAAAATCAAATTGCTAGCCTAAGTAAAAAGAACTTACGTGGTAGAATTTTGATTAGGACCAAAACACCCTTAGAATCGAAATCGATCGAAATTCCACCAGAAACAATAAGACGATAGATAATGTGAGACTTCTAATAACGTTGTTCTTTATGTCTGTAATACTTTATTATATTTAAGAGATTAATTTGATACATTACTGTTGGTTCCCCTCTTTTGAAATTTCTTTGCTTGTTCTCATTGTGATTTTTTGCTCATGGAGAATTTTCTTGGCACGAAGAAATGCAATCCATGGTAGAAAATGGAGTTGCTAGTTCACACACATAGTTGTTGCTCCATGAAACATAAATATCAAAATGCTAATTTGCAGAAACTATAAAGGTGTTTTTAACTGCAATATGTATAACATCACTTAATATATTTTCCTAATAATAACAAGAAACATATGGACTAAAACTCATATGTCGATATTTTCGTAATTATTACCTTTTGAATATATTTTAATTTTATTTTATTATTTATTTTATTTTTATCCTTTAAATACATCTAATTATATATTTTTTAACTCGTTATCTATTATTTTTTTTCTATCTAAGAGACCAAAAAGTGGTTATAATTTGTTTTAATTTAAATTTTTTATTTATCTCTCCATTTTTTAAGTGTGTCTTATATTATTTCTTCACTAATTATATATAATATTTTTGTTCTCTTAATGTCCAATTGACTATCTTATGATTTTTTTTTAAATATAAAAAAAAAATACCCTTTAAATGTAGCCACATTGTTTTGTCTCCTTTTTTTAGTTTTTTAAATATATAAATCATAATAACTTGTTTTAATATATATTATTTCTTCGTTGATTATATAAATTATAATACATTATACTTGTATAAAACTTACTTTTTCTCTCTCAAATAATACTAAATATGTCATTTAACACATGTACCATATTTAAAATACGTGATACTTTTTTATTTTACATTGTAAACATGTTCCATAAAAAGTAAAATGGATTACATACAATTCTCCTTTTATAATTCAGCTTCATTTTTATTGTTATATCTTTTTTTTTAATTAATTTCAGTCTCTAACATTTTCAAACATTTTGTTGTTTATTCTTGTCATCAATGTTTGATGTAATAATATCAAAACAATAATGTAGTGATAAAGATATGCATGCTATGTTATCATATCTTTATACAATAATTATCAATTAAATAGAATTATGTAAGAAAGATTAAAACCATAAAGAAGTACAATGGCAAAAAAAATAAAAATAAAAACACATAAAAAACATACATAAACTCCTTTCTTATTTTATATATAAAAAATATTTACAAAAAAATATAGCTATTTTATTAAATATATAAAAGAGGAGAGTATCATTTATTTGAAGCATACATTTAGATTTCATTTAATCCAATCCAAAATCAAAAGATTTTATTAAATAGGATGAAATTTAATATTTGATTTTAAAAATAAATTCAATTCAAAATCACCAAAAATACATACATATATTTTTATCTACAAGTTTTTAAATTTACATTTTTATCTACAAGATTTTATATTAAAATTTTATTTCAAATCAACTTGTTTTATATTGAATTGGTCGAAGAATATTTAATTTTAAATTGATTCAATAGCATATTTTAAAAAATGGTAATTCATAGATAATTGTCCAATATAATATGCAATGTTATTAAAATTTATGAAAACGAATTTCAATTATAATATAACCAAAAAAATATTATAATAAAGATTCAAAATAAATTGAATAAAAATTAATTTTTTAACAGGTCAATAACATTTAAAAACAAAATAAATCATTTAGATGATTTTTCCATCAAATGGTCCAATCTAATATGAAATTTTATTTAAACTAATATATAATTATATATTTTTCACATGTTATTATTTTCACATTTAAACATTTTTTGAGTTGAAAAAAAAAGTAAGAATCGACCAATATCTATCAATGGAACTAAAAAGACATTATAGAATGTAAAATTTAAAATTTGAAGTAGTAAAAAAAGCGTATGAGCAAGATTAAAAGGATATTAAAGAACACTTTGATGCTTTAGGATCTTCCATGAAGGTAAAAATAAAGATAGTATGAAAGTTGCAATAAAATCAACGAGGCTCGTTAGATTGTGATGTTTTTTATTTTGCCAATGAAATGTTCCCACAACTTTGATCCAAACAATGAATAAATCTTGTGAGTTTTGCATGATTCATCTTAAACTATAATTGACTTAGTAATTTCGGGAGAAATTCCATGCATTTTTTGGATGTATATGCGAAAAATATATTATGTGAATGTCATTTTATTTAAAATCTAAAACAATAAATGCTTATTTTTAAATTAAAAGGATATAAATATCATTTATCATAATATTATTAAAAAAAGATAAGTGAAATTTTTCTTAAGATATTTATTTAAGCGTTAGTGACTAAAATTCTAAAAAATGTATGTGTTCATTCAAAAACCGGAGGAGATATAAGTGCTATTTAAAGTGTTAGAAAGTGTTTCGGTGAAAATTTTGATTGTTTCGATTTTTTAAAGACTTAAGTTCTAACTAAATTTCAACCACGTAAATTCTTTTTATTTAAGCTAGCAAACAGTTTTTCAATAAAATAATGTATGTAAATTGAAAGTATCAAAATATCGAGCCAATTGATGAAGCAAAACGTGAATATTAGAAACACGGAAAATGTAATAAAGTATACATACTGAAATTGAACGTTCTTTTTTCTTTTTGTATTTTTTATTAAAAGACTCGAGAATATGAAAATTAGTAGAAGTAAAAAAAGCAGTAAAAAGATGTCGAGACAAATAATACATAAAATTAAATTGCACTAAGAGTAAATGACAAAATTAAATTGCACTAAGAGTAATCGAAATCATTGGAAAGTATCCATTCTTCTGAAGAAAGTATTTTTAGGATTTTGAGTTTGGAATATTGGATGATACCTTGTTCATTTCTTTTATGAATAATTTCTGCAGAGTCGGTGTTGACTAAAATAAATTCATAAAAGGTACGATCTTTGTTTAAACTTGTTGGCAGATAATAGAATTCTTTTGAGGAAAGTAAAAAAAGCTTTAAAATTACATAAGTGTAAATGACAAAGAATTAGTAAAGGATATCGAAACAAAGATGTAATGTATAATCTTAGAATTGCATAAGTGTAAATGGCAATGAACTGAAATAATATGAAAGTAAAGACACGTAAATTTAAATTGCATTAAAGATAAAGTATCAGGAAAAGTACAGAAAATGGTAACAAAAGTCAATGAAAATGAAAATCCAGATCTTCAAAAACTTCATGATTCATCGTTCTCCGGTAGACTTGTATAATTGATTTCTGTTCTCTCTGCCAATTTCCCCCTCCTTCTTCATACTTCGCTCTATTTATAGATTTTCTTCAATGTAACCTCCTAAGAGCGGTTTAGAAACCGCTACTACGTTTCATGTGCACGCTAACTGTTGCCTCGATTTTTACCTTAGCCACGGTTTAGAAAACCGCTACCCATGTTCAATGTGCATGATAGTCGTTCCCTCGATCTCGACCTCAGCCACGGTTTAGAAATCGCTACCCATGTTCCATGTGCATGATAACCGTTCCCTCGATCTCGACCTCAGCCATCGAGTATTTTAAACTGATTCTGACTTCTCACTCAATACCTATTATCGATTTTTTACTTTCCAATCATATTTATCGAATTTCCTGTCTTCTTTTGATTTAGACTCTCGATTTTCCCTATTAAAAGGTAATCGAATTTTTCTTATCTATTTTCGATTTAGATTCTCGATTTTCCTTAACAAATAATCATCAAATTTCTCTTATCCATTTTCGATTCAGATTTATCGATTTTCCTCAGTATATAGTCATCGAATTTCTTCTTTCAATTTTCGATTCCGATTTTCTATTTTTCCAACCAACAATAAGTAAGTACAATTTTTTCTATTTTGTATATTATTATTATTATTTTCTTTTTGGTAAATCTTTGTCATAATTGGGATCAAGTATGAAGTGGGAGGGTTTTTTGGTTTTAAAGGGAGATATGGCGTGCAGATAGAGAATATGGGGTGCAATAAGCAAAAGCCTTAAATATCACTTGGATCCAAACCTTGGCAGACACCTACTTTCACCATCATTATTTAGCCAATAGGCAATAATATCACCACAAATAGCCTAAGGTTGAAGAACATGGTGACCGATACAAGTCAAAGACAATCTTTTTATAGAAAAAATAAACTCCTCTCCATCATCTCTCTTTCCTCTTTCTTTTGTTTTCTTTCTAATTTTTGGGTTAACTTTGTTTCTCTCTATCACATAACACCAATAAATAACAATTACAAGACTCAAGCTGAACCTAATTTTACAAGCCAAGAGAGTAAGGAAAGCCTGTTGAGTCCAACCAGCTGGAACCCCCAATGAAGCTTCCGGGGCTAAAAGCCCGGGCCTCAGCAGCATCAGTGATGACCTTGAACCCTTTCCATGAGACCCTATTGGAGGTTCCAGCACCAGGCCCAGTGTTTTGATACTCCCTATAGACCAAAGTGCTCAATGCAAAGTTGCCATTCCATTCATGCCACCCAACAGGGTCAATCACATCACTGATACTACTCTGCATGATTACAGTCCTAGAGTACTCCTTCCAGGGCCTCCCAAGATATGTTTTGAAATCCTTCTTCACAGCCTCCAAGTCCTGAGTGGCACCAATCCTGCACTTCTGGATCACAATGCCTGTGTTTTGGTTAGGGTCAACTCTTCCCTGGGCCGTGACCATGTTCTTCTGGCCCGAGTCGGGACGCCTAGCGTGGATATCACAGTCTTGGAACACCACTGCAGAGTTACCAAAGATGAAATCCACTGTCCCTGCAATGAGGCACTTCACAAAGAATTGACGGTTGTTGTGGACATAAAGGGTATCTTGGAATGCTAAGATGTCACAGTTGTAGAATGCTGAGAGGTCCCCTCCTACTCTTAGGGCCACAGCTTGGTGCTTTGAGGCCCCCGCTGTGTTTTGGAATGTTATGTCCCGGGCCAGGAAATTTCCACCCACAACAGCTGCACCAGCAAAAGTAATTCCATTAGGGTAACTTCAGAATTGACTACACAAAACGAATCAAAGAAGGACAAAAACGAAAAACCATTCATCCAATCATCCATGTAAGTACTTGTTGTTTTCTAGACCTAGGGTTGCGTGTACGGTGCATTCACCTTTATTTATGCCCATTGAAGGCTCAACAATCAACCTGGTTTGAATTCCTTGATTGGTGAATACTTTTGATCTATCAGAACAGTAAAACTCAATTATAGTCTGTTATATTTTAATTGGTAAATATGAAGAGTGAAATCTGTATATCTAGATATGCTACTTTTGTTTCTAGAAACATATTTACCTAAATAACGAATCTAACATTTAACCATGCAAGGTGGTTAAATAAATTAAAACAAGAGATACCATAAATGAACTAGTATGATTGAATGGTTTCAAAAGCAAGATGAGAGGAAATTGTAGGACAAGTGGGGGGTACAAATGGCAGCTCACAGGGTACCACTATGCCTTAATTTGAAGGGTCATCAAATTTATATGATAGAGTTGGGGCAATATTGTTAAATTAGGCTAAGATGAGGCATAATACAAGACCAGAAGTGTAGCCTGCATGCAACTTACGTATAAGACAAGATGTAAGTAATAGGTTATATATTATATTAGTAAAAAAAATATTAATTTTATTAATTAGAATTAAGTTTTATTTGGATGATAAATATAACAAAATAAATAAATTAATGATGTATCGCATACTATTAAAGTTAATTTTTAAATCGATTAGAGAACAACATCTATATGAAATTATATTGGTTATATTATTTCACAGGAAGCATGCATGATTGAAGGAAACATTATGGAATGTTTGTGACATCAAATTTAGGCTTTAAAGTGGAAAAAGATAGGATAACTTGAATGGCATATATAAAGTCAAAGTAAAATAGAATTTTGTCTAGCTGTATCCCAAACCTTTTCTCCAATACGAAAGAGCATTCTTATAAAAGATGTGAATTTTCTTTCATTAAAAATGATTTGTTGAGAAAAAATATGTACTTAGACAATCGAATCTATGTAAAAATCTTCATTATTTTTTAGACAAATTTAAAAGCATATTAAAGTATTAAAGAAAATATCACTTTTTTATTATTATCAGAAACTCTAAGTAAAACAACGATCTTCTGTGCATGATATCCAATTAAAGATATGCATGTTTGAAAAAAAATGATTTTATGATTCACCCGAGAAGTAACACACTTTTTGGTATATGATTAATTGAAAATTTTCGTAATAACTTTGAAAAAATTAATAAAATGATAAATACGGTTTCTACAAATTAACTTATTTATAAACTAATTTTAATTTATGAAGAATTGTCTTTTTTTATTCTGAAATTTCTTTGAGTAAATGATTCAAATAAGTTTAATTGTGGCTACTTTTGAAAAACTTGTTTAACTTTTATATTAAAAAAAGTTAAACCTTTTTTTATTTAAGAAACTTTTTCCTTTTAAACAGCAAATATAAAAGGCCAAGTAGAAAGAATATAATCTCTTTCCGTCTGCTGGGCAACCTTAGTCCACATTGCCCTTAGAACAATGATGGGACAAAGAATTGATAGATAGATTAGTTAATTTAATATCTTCATAAAGACTATATATTTAGAAAAAAAATATTTATTTGATTTATATAATTTATTTGGGAATATAAAAAAGTAACGATCTATAAATGGCATTTTACAAATCTACATAAACCTAGCATTTATTTTATATTACTAATTTTCTAATGTTTCTTTTCAACCATATTTTACAGTGTACAGACTGCAGAAACCTTAGAAAAATTGACAAAATTATGGAACTTTAGGTTATTGAAAACGTATTTAAAATGATTTTGACACAGACATAAACAGGATATGGGAATTAAATTAACCTTTAATGGCAGAAAAACATGGGTACAAAAAACAACAAAAAGAAGTTGTCTTAGGAAGGATGGACACCAACCCATGTGCATGCTGACCAAATTTATTGAAATGATGGGTTGAAGCTGAAGAAATAGATTTCTAAATCATTATTATGATGAAAAGTTAGGATCACACCGCGATCTGACCCTGAATTGTTGTCCCTGTTGTCTTCTAGCTGGGACCTTAGTTTCCCGAAATTATGGGACTTAACATTGTTTATTTATGATGTCATTGGTCTGACCATATTCTAGACCAATCATGTTACTAATTACATCAACTTATCATTCATTAAACTAACACCTCTCACTGGATCATGTCTCACTGAATCAACAAGTGAAAGAGCTTTCCAACATTTCAATCTTTCCACTCTTACTTTTCTGACAAATACATATGTAAAGTGTGGAAAACTTTTTGTAGCAGTTATAACTTGTCAGAAATTTGTCAATGTTAAAATAAAAAAATGGAAAAAAAATGCAACAAAGCTTCAAAATTTGAAGAAACCAAAGTATGGTACGCAGATAAAAATACAGTGATTAAATTACAGTAAGGAAGGAAGGATGATAAACTCACCGACGGTGGCAGAATGGAAGGTGGTGCTACCATCAACGACATTTCTGCTACCTGTGATGATAGTGCTGGTTCTTCCATCCCCCAAGAACATGATATTGTCCTTCTTCTTAGGAACTTCCACATTCTCTCTATAAACTCCAGACTTTATCCTTATAACATACCTCTTACTACTCTTCAACGGAGCAGCTTCCACCGCCTCCGACACCGTCTTAAAGTCTCCACTACCGTCCGCCGCCACCACCACATCAGCCTTCACCTCCGCCGCCTGAAGCAGCCTTCTGTCAGTAGCAGAAATCCACTCCGGCCACACAACACCATCGCCATTGGCATTACTCTCCCCCGCCAAGAGCTTTCTATTTTTGCCAACGTTGTTGTCTCCTAGCTTCATATTTTGTTCGAAAATGGCAATGTCGGTGTCGGTCATGTTCTTGGTCATAGCGAGTGCATTGCTGCACATGTGTTCCACGTGCACCTGTCCTTCTTCCAGAGCCTTCCGCACGCGCTTATCGGCATCCTCGTGCGAGAAGCCGTCGAGGCACGTGACCTGGTTGGTTATGGCGGCACTGATTAACGTTTTGAGGTCGTCGGCGTGCTGGTAGAGAGTTTTCTTGTTGGGGTAGAGCTCGAGGTCCTTCCGAGCCTCTTTCAGCTCGTCCAGGGTCTCATCGATGGTTTCGAGGCAATCGTGGAGCGCAATTTTCTCGCGCTTCGTGAGGCCGCGTTTGGCAATAAGCTTCTTCACGGTGAAGTAGTTGTGTTCCACCGCGCGCGTGGTGATGTTGAGGGAGACCTGAATGACGTCACGGTGAGAGGTTACCCTGTGGGTGACATTGGGTTCTGAAGCCACCGCTGAGAAACAGAGTTCTGGATAGAATGTGGAGCTGCACGCGCTCTTGATGATCGTGTGGGAGTGGTGGGAGAGGGAGAGCGGGGTGCTGCTGGTGCTGTCGGAATTTTTGTTTTTGTTTTTTACTCCGGCGACGATGGCCGCGACGGAGGCCGCCACCAGGAGGGTGGCGAAGAATGTGAGGAAGAGCTTCTTTTTCTTGTTGTGGGCCTTTTTAGAGAGGGAAATGTGGTTGCCGGAATCTCCGATTCCGGCGTAGGGAAGTTTTGGGTTAGTCATGGTCTAGACTACGATGAAGTAAAAGAAATAGAAGGTGAGGGTGGGGAATGATAGGGGAAGGACAATTCCTTACTTATAATCTTGGATTAGAGTCACTATTTGATTTTTTTTTAATTAAAATTTAAGTATAATGATGAACATTAACTATCTCATTTTTTGGATGATCAGGAAAAAAATAAATAAAAGAATGGATTGGTAGATGTGGTAAATGATGTAATAAAGTTAAGAAGAAAGGAAAAAAAGTAAGTATGCTTATTATGTAAGCATTAGAGTTTAATAATAATATATCTACATTATAGGTTATCTGATCACAATCAATTTTTCTAATTTGTTTAAGTGGTTTATTTAAACATTACTTATACGTTAAGCATTTTTTTTGGTTATATTTAGAGGATGTGATTAGAGTGGAATGGAAAGGATTAGAGCGTGCTTATGAGAGACTAAAATAGTAGAAAATGGAGCCATGTGAAAAAGGTGGGTTCAGAAAATTATAGCCGTTACTTTGTGGGTGGCAACGATAGAAGAATTGTTTCGTGTTCACGGGTTGGTAGAAAATGGAGAACTTTGGTTGAATGGGACGTAGCTGTGAGAAGTATGAGAAAACAGAGAAATTCATGGAAAAGAAAGAACGAAAGGAAATGACACAAAAGACCAAAAAGAGACGTCTGAATATAAAAAATAAAATTCCACGAATCAAATTCGACTTTGTCATGGAAAAGACGAATAGTCTTAATTTAAAGACACTTGCATATAAATATTATACTTATCTTAGAGATTAATTATTAATCTCATCTTGTGTGTTATTATTCCTTGTATAATTATTTAGCTGTAAAGCTTTAAAGCAACACAAGTTGCAATACTTAATCTTCTTCTTTACACTTCTGCTCGTATATAATCGAAATCCAGAGAACTAATTTAATAATGAAAATTGTCATTAACATTATCTTCGTTCTTCTTCCTTTCATATAAGCTTTTTCATCTTTTTATATAACTGCCAACCATGCGTGTTAAATAGTTTATGAGCATGTTTTCCAATAAATTTGTATTTTCTTTTGGTTAACTTATTAGGACAAGAATCTCAAGTTTTTTTAATATCAAATTAGACAGATCGAAATTGTAATAATTTTTAATAAAGAAATCAATTTGTAGACTAATGATAATGCGTCTACGTTATTTTTAATTCATGATTTCCAACTAATTAATTCAACCCTAAAAAAATATTTATAAAGAGTTTTATATTCGATTTGTATATATGTTTTTATGTCACTAAAATACATTGATTGCTCTACGGAACCACGACAACCAACGATGCATGGGACCATTTATCGTGGCTTATTTTCGTCTTTTATGTTAAAATTCAAGAAAATCGGATTATACGAATGCCATATGTTTAGTATGAGTCTAATATTCACGGCTAAAATAAAATATGACAAAATAATAATAATAATAATAATAATAATAATAATAATAAAGTTTGATTATTGAATAAATTATAATATTTTTTAAAATCAAAAAAATAATATTATAAGAAATTTCAATTAATACGGATGCATTAATTAATATATATATATATATATATATATATATATATATATATGTTTAAAATGATTTATAAGATAAACACAATGATAATTTATATATAATATTATTGTGTTTTAAAAAATAAAATTCTAAAAGAATAATACCTTACTTCAAATATCGAACACAATATATTTATATAAAGTTAAATACTATATATATACTTTGATTTTGAAAGCCTACGTTTAGGTTACACCAGAATATTAATGAGTTAGTTATGAATTAATAAACATTCATATTTATAAATAACATATATATATATATATATATATATATATATATATATATATATATAATATGCAATAAGTGTAAATATAAGTAGAAAAACTCGTGTACTCTTTGGACGTTTCTGAAAATATATTATCAGTAAAAATGATTTTTCTTTTAATTTATATAGTAATCTCACGGCTTTTATTTCTTATTACAGTAATTATTTATTATATTTTTCAAAATGTATACACTTTACAAAATTTTAAAGTTGATAATGAAAAATAATTAAAACCCTATAACAGAGAGAGAAGGAGAGGACCAGTGTTTTTGAAGTTTAGGAGTAATTAACAGGCAAACAACCAGGTTCATGTGCAGTATAGCAAACCAAGTTGTTGAATTAACAAGTTGCTTATTTAATGTGGTTTGGTGTTTATTTTAAGGTTCATGCTAAGGAGAAGAAAAGGATCACATGCTAAAGATAGAAAGGAATATGGAAATGTTCTTCCATAATATAATTATTGGCTAATGTTATTATGTGAACAAATTGCATATTTTTTTTATCAACACTCTATTATTAACTTATTATGGGAACAAATAATTAAGGCTTAATTAATCTCCAATGTTATTATTTTTATTTCTCACTTTCATGCAAAAGTTTTGGCGTCAGGTTAAATCTAAAAGCAAAATGATTGAACGAATAGTGATTTTTGAAGAGGAAATGCTATTTATTTATATAATAATTTGTATAATATATTTTATGTGTATTTTCTTTTGTACATTATTTATTACTATTTCTTGTTATAATGACGAAGGAAAATAAATTCCAAAGACGATGTAGTTTATATTATTGTATAGGTTGTTGTATATGTGTCAATTAATTTCTTTCGGAAAAGCATGCACCACTTCTTTGTCGTATTTTTTTTTTTTTTTTCAAATGAAATCCTTGACATTTATGTGGAAGTGGAGTGGAGCTATATATTGCATAAATTCGACTGCTTCAATTTCGTTATTTAGTTAGTAATTAATTATTTAATTAGTAACCGGTTAAATAGTTTTAGTTGGTTAGGTAATTAGTCTTTTTAATTAATTGAATTTTCCAATGCAATATATATATATATATATATATATATATATATATATATATATATATATATATATATATAAATTACTGAAATTATGACATTTTTAAACAACCTTTTCAAATAAACAACACACACAACGTTTGCAAGCAATTTTTGCGATTGTTTAATCGCATGCGTTTCTGAACGAGACTGCATTTTCAATAATCATCTTCATCATCATGTTAGCCATGGGTATTCAATTTTCTTTTTCTATTGCACCAGCCACGTGTTTAATCGAAGCATTTTTATTTTTTTCAGTAACACTTTGGGGAGTTGATAATATCGTGGCTTTGTTCCTTTGCATTCTCCCACAAAAACAAGATCCAATCTATGATGGTATAAAGAGTAAAATAAATAAATATTGTTCATAGAATATGTGACACATAATTGTACGAAATTCTTACCCATAATTGAATGAATATGATTTCGATGAATTTTTGTATAAGTAAAATTATTCATTAATATTTTCAGTTTATACCTAACTCTTGCACTAATCACGTAAAATTATACATTATAAAGGAAATAGAGAGTATACCTGCAGATTAACGTTCATATCTATGTACGTAACTGATCTATTTGGTTCAGAAAAAAAAAAAAAATACAAATTAGACGGTAGAATGAATAAACAACAAATTATGATGCAACAAATCAGAGTCTGTACAGACACGACACGTGGGGGATTCCCTCTATATACATTAATTAAATTGGTCCATTGTATTATTTATTCACAAATAAAAGATAATGCAGAAATTAAAATATAAAATTAATTAATATCACAAAAACTTTTGTCAATTTTGTATTAAAATTATATATATATATATATATATATATTTATTTATGATATAGGAGTGATATTAATATTTTTTACAATATCAATCTCAAATCTTTTATAATATTATTATTTAGTTTAATTATTATATTTAAGATATTGATCGAGGTTGAGAATTTAAATATAAATTAAAATTTTATTTTTATATTAGATAAAATGAGAAAATTGAATAATTTATACATGACAAAAATATTTATAATCTAATATCTTAAAGTTTTAGATTAAAAATAATGTTGTATTTTGTTGTACAGATTGACTCTGTCCCATCTTGTGAAAATTTATCAGTATTAATCTTTCTAGAAATTTCCAATAATAATATCGGAACCGATTATTTATGTGATAACTGTTAAGATATATGTAAATATATTTTGTTATTGTATTTTAGGTAAACATATATTTAGTTTATAATTAATTTCTTACATATATGTCTGATGTTATTAGTTACCTAATTAGTTTCCTAAAATTACGACTTGTACATTGTATTTATTCCGACTCAATGAATGAGATCAATTGTGAAAAATACTCTTTTATCGCATTAAATTTCTAAGGCAATTATGCTTCTTTTTCTTTGATCCCCTTTATCTATCTTTTTTTTTTTCTTCTTCTCACCATGGATAACAAGAGTTTTTTTCATTCAGCTCTTGCGGTTTTCAATATACGGAACCATATTTCCATCACTCCTAAAATGGAGAATGTTCAATACTTTACATGGACGAAACTTTTTAAATTTATCGCACGTTCTCATAAGGTCATTCATCACATTATTCCTCTTGCCAATGGCAAAGAGAAGATACCTATCACTGAGGATGAAAAGGAATTATGGTCAACTCTTGATGCTAAGCTTATTTCTTGACTTTATGCAACCATCTCCAATGGTCTGTTGCATATAATTATTGAACCCAATGTCATAGCCATGAATGCTTAGAATAAGTTGAGAGATATTTTCAAGACAACAAACATTCTCGTGTGGTAACTCTTAAGGCCAAATTCTCCACTACTAAGATGGAGAATTTTCCAAATGCTTCGACATATTATCATCGTCTCAAGTTAAGTCCTTTGTTGATTAGTTGAAAAATGTTGGAGCATTGGTGTCAGAGAGTCGCCTCATCATTCAACTTGTTTCGAGTCTCACAAGTGCATATCGCAGTGTAAGAAAGTTAATTCGGCAGAGTGATCCCCTACCTCCGTTTTATCAGGCTCGATTGATGCTCAAACGTAAGGAAGCCAGATTGGCAAAAGAGGATGTCACAGGATCAGAGTCA